TGGGGGAGATACAGATACCTCGGATTGGGAGCCAACATAATGAGTTAAGGGACACCTCAGGTGTCCAATAGGAACCTATAATGGGGGTTGCACATATGAAATCTAGCTTTTCTACTAGACTTAGGCACATAAATGAATCTGGGATTCACAGTCTGAAACAGCATTAGTAGTGGTAGTGAATGATGGGATAACAGCCCAGGGTCATGCTCCTTCTTGCTTGCTTTGCTTCTGGTGCCATGAATCTTGCATTCCTTTCTGCACAATGGCACAGTTTCAACAGGAAGTGTTGCCTTATTTCTAACCCAGTGGCTAGGGCACTTACTGGAAAGGTGGGAGGTGGGAATTTGCATCCCTTCAGGCTGAAGAGGGCCTTGAACCCAGGCCCCTCACAACTTAGGCCACATAAAAAATGGCCAGGATATACAATTCTTCCTATGCTTCTGAACAAAGTCACCTCACACTCTTTAATCAGTGACTGAAATGTGCTCAACAGTTGTTCTTACACTTAGGAAAAAAGAGTGATTCAACCGGAGTTAGACAGAATTTACTGAGAAATGCCACATGCTGCCAAGAATAATTGTCTTAGCATATCTATCGCACAGAGAAATTTTTGCCCTGCTTCTAAACGAAGATGAACCCTGCTAGCTTCTGTTAGCATCGCGATGGAGAGAACATTGTGGTCTGTCTGCTCTACGGGGCTGGAAGCAAAAAACAATCAACCAACCAACCAACCAACCAAACAAACAACCCCCCCCACACCCATAGTGATAGTAACAGAGGAAAGTCACATCAATTAAAGGAGGAAAAAAAGCTGCATTTTAAGCCAAAGCTTCTTCATCCTGACTGTTACTTTATATATTTAATGGGAAACTGGCAAAAGGACTTGAAGTCACAGCAGAACACTGAAAACAGCACAGCAAAAGTCATTCGCCCTTTTCCCTCTGCCCCCACCTCAGTCAAAAACTCACCAGAATGGAGACTTTGTGCTCTAGCCCTGATGGAGTGACCCAGAGTAATAAGAATATAGGGCAAGCAGAGCATGAGGAGCGGTAGGATAAAATAGGATATTGTTTGTGTAGATAAAATGGTAACGTCCTTCACATAAAGAAGCGCACAGGGAGACAGAATGTTTTACACTGTTTTTAGCAAGTGCTCATTTACAGGAAAAGATGAAGACCTGAGAGGTGAATATGGAACAGAATTCTGTATTGTAACCATAACTTTGTTTAAAGGTGAACAAGAGGTGTATGATCAATTATCATCTGCTAGTGGGGAAAGAAACTGTTTAGAGTAATACAATAAGCATGACAGGGATTATGTGATTAAAGTAAAATATATGCTGAAAATCAGAAGCAAAATCTCCACAGTGATTTCTATTAGGCTGTGAATCAGTCTCCCAAGGGAAGCAGCAAAAGTGCTGCCATTTGAATAATTTGAAACCAGACAGCACAAAGCATTGAAGAATCCACTGTAAAGATGAATGTTAAATTGGCCAATGGATGGATGAGATCATTGCTCTGCTGAAAAGTAAATGCTTCCTATGAATTCAAAGCAGTGAAGTCATAAGTAAAGATTTTACAGATTATTTGTAGTTAGAACGGAAAGAAGCAAAAGAGTTTAAATATCAATACTGCTGTAGAATTTAAGATTTAAAACGTGACTTAGTGGTTTATAGGAAATGCGTGGGAGGGTTTACAGAGAAGTGGTTCAGTGAACCTGAAAGAAAATTAAATTTGTTTTGTGAAAAGGACTGAAGGGACCAGAGGAGAAGCTGAGATGGAGGAGATGGTATGGGAACGAGCTGTCGGAGGAGTACATGAACAGAAGAATAGAAAGGTCTGAGGAAACTAGCAATAAGGGAAGAGACTCTGCTGAACCCAATCCAGAACAAAAAAAGGAAACATGTTACTATAGCCAAAAATAGCTATAGTAATAGCAAGTATACTATAGAAACTGTTTGTCTGGATTGGTGTCAACTGGAACCAGCGTTTCTGAGTAAACATGACCATTTTAATTGTGGTATTTTGGTGAAGTACATAAGCAATAGCTGCATTTGCTGGAGGAGGAAAATAAAGGCAGGAAATTTAAATGACGATTACAGGCAATGAGGTAGTCTGTAATGGGGTGGGACTAGAATGAGGGAGTCCCTCACCATCAGTCCTTTCCTTAGATATATAGACCAGGCTGCCTCTCACAGACTATTGAGGACAGGCATTACATCTGTGCTGGGAGAAATGCCTTTCTCCTGGCACAAAAACCTACTGCACAAGCATTCAAGGGTTTTGGGTGGAAGAAAAATGACTCTTCCGTGAAAAGAAAGAGAGCACTTCCAACCAGGAATTTCTCTCTGCTGAGACCTTTTCTAGTGCTAGCTTGAAACGCTACGTGCTTCTTTTGGGGTTAAAGCTGATCGACAAGAATGGTCCCCAGCAGCTCAACCCATCCTGAGGAGCCCCAGGACAGTTTGAGCAACAATACCTCTACCCTGCTGCTCCTTGCACTGAACGGAGATGACCCTGGTCTGTAGGAAGGACAGGGGGCGTTCCACCACAGTTTGACACATCCTGGGGCTTCCAGAGGTGGTTTGAATCACAGCTCCTCTGCTTTCTGCCTCATGCACAGGGCCAGTTGACCTCAGAGCTGTGCAAGGGATGGGGGGCATTCCTCCATGGCTTCATCCATCCCAGGTGTCTCCAGCATGAGGTAAGCCCTGCCTCTGCACATCCCATCTTCTGCACAGGTCCAGGATGACTGTGTTCCAGGGTGGGTGAGGACCTGTCCTCCTTGTCCCTGCTACCCCTGGAGCCCAGAAGGCTGTTCTGGAATGCCTGTATACTCCCCCTTCTCACTACGTTTTCTAGTGCTGCAAATTTTCCAGAATTGAACCCCAGTTCCTGATCTGTATTGTCGCTGTATCAAATACAGGCAACCAAAAAACAGAGCTTGTGAAAGGTCTAATGTCATCTCTTGCAACACTGATGGCACTGATACACCTCCCACACAACTGTCAGCTATTCTATACTTCCCTGAAACAAAGCAACCCATGGCTGTGTATTTTACTAGCAAAAAGCACCATATTTATAGGTATGTTTGCAAGTGCACAAGCCCAACTAACTTATGCTGTATAATTAAAATCAAGGTAATGGATTTTGAATACCAGTGATCTGATTAATTTTGAAGGCTATTCTCAGGAGGAAATGGACAGAAAAATAACTTTTTCTAAATAACAAAAGCATACATTCTCCTATACTTCTACTGGTTATCAAAATCACAAAGTAGCCCACCACAAGACATTTTCCAGGGACCCAAGCTTGGCTGTGGTGACTGTAAGAGCACCCAAAGAGTATCAGCTGACATAGGCGCTGCAACAGAAATTCTTCTCGGTATTAATCCATAGGCAATGTGTGGACCACCCTCCTGTCTTCAGTGTATTGTTGGGAGCTTTGCAGTCCTATCTTAGAAAAGACTCTTTTGTTCTGGCATCTAACACATTTGGTTATCAGAGATGGAAGAACAATTTTCGCACTAACTTCAACACGATTCCATGCTGATGCAAACCCAAGATGGTGATCTATGTTTCATATATTTAAAATACTCTGAATTGAGAATACACTCAAGTCCGTGTGCCCAAAATCTGCAATAGAATATGAACATCCATTCACTTTAGAAGTGTTTGATTTCAGCTCATTATACATCCAAAAAATAAGATGAAAAATTAGATTTGAGCCTCATTTCTGAAACTAAAATCATCTTTGTTAGCTCCTGGTCCAGTACAATAAAACTTAAGTAACCTCGTTCCAAAGGATGATTGTGAAGCTGTTCCAATATTCATGTTAAAAGTTCCCTAACTTTGGTGCCAAAATTTTAAAAAGCACTTTTTGAAAAAGCAGAGAGTAAGACAATGGTTGAAGAGTATTCACATTGAACAAAATGTTGTGGATTTGGCATTTGCAAATAATGCATAACTAGTCCTATTATTTTCAAATTATATGATAAAATACAAAGAAAATACAGAGGGAACTAATGTCACTTTTTGAAATATCTGCCCTGTACTTGAACTGATAACACATCATTTCTGACAGTTGGAGTACACTCATTGAACTCATATGATTTTTGTAAATCCAGGAATCCTAATATTTTAAAACACTTGAAATGAAGTGTACATTCATGAGTTGTTTTCCCAGTAATCAATGAGTTATATTGGTAACTATTATAGACACACGTAACAATTCACTTGTATGTAAGCATAACACTTTTTATCCCAAAGGTTCCTAAAACATTTCCTAAACCTCACACAGAGCAACAGCCCTGATATGCAGCTATCTCTAGGCACCACCCCAGAGCACAGCATGCTACACAAATGCAACTAGAAAGAAAATTTTGATTGATAACACTGATCATATCTCCCACTTCTACAGAAAATTCCAAAGGATCTTTAATGTCCATGCAGAATTAACAGTAGACTTTATCTCCATGAGCTCCTACAAAGACCAAGGACTAACCCTGCTGTCATTGGAATCTGTGTTTCCATTGAACTCCAGGTGTTCCAGGTACAATACTCAGACCAGTAAGCCATCCCTTCAGGTTTACTGTACCAACTAACAGCTTTAAAACAAAGAGTATCAAATTATTTTCGAGAATAATTGGGGGGGGCGGGGGGCAGTTGGAAAGAAATTTGATGTAAATATTTTACTATGGAAGAACTTTTTGCTGGCCACTGGCTATTTGCAAGAGTTTTATTACAGGTATGTTGAAGGGATGTTATGTTAAGCTAAAACTACGTAGCATGGAAGTGAATGTCAATGGCACCTTGTTGTCTATTAAGTTAGAATAATGACAATTTTTTTCACCTTCCTGGCTGTAGGTGACAGCACAATAAATGCTGACAGAGCTAAAATGTTGTCATGGGTTAAAATGAACAGTTTTAAAATGATGGTACAATTCCCCTATTACCCACAAACCACTTCCTTTCCTATTTAACAGACAGCACACAGGCAAATATGAATTCTTCTCAGTTCCTTCAAAACAGACGGAAGGCTGTGACTGGGGTCTGTTAGACAGCTATGAAGTCAGGCATTTTAACTTTCTGTCTTCTCTGCTTTCACTTTGAAACCCTATATGGTAAGTGGCATTTTGGATTTTGCTCTTTGCGATATTTATCCATGAGGAATTTATGACACACAAAGAACAGAGAAAGTAGATGGCGAATGAAAGTTAGGAAGGGGACAGGTAAGAGACTATTAAAAATAGTCACCAAGACAAGGTATGTCACTATTAGCCTTCCTAATACTACAAAGATTGGCAAGAACAGAATGTCTGCCAGCACACGACAGTTGTTCTGTCCATAAGAGACAAAAAAAAAAAGAAACTTGGTCATTCACATTCTTTGTTCACGTGCTTAGAATGACCTTTTAGCTATTGATACTGTTGTGTTTTAGGCAGTTTTCACACTGAGCCTAGTAGAAAGTTTAAGAATAAGATGACAAGTGAGTAAGGAAATCCATACTGAATTTCTGACATTAAATATGATCATATTTGTAAGGGATATGTTCTTAACTAAGAAAATATATATGGTCTGGAGGAGTTGTTTAATGTTATATTTCCGAGAGAAAATTCAGAGTAGTTTAAAAGAGAATATATCATCCTCATTGCCTCACTGCTATAACTTAAGAAGGGTCTGGATGATGGTTCCAATGTGACCAGAAACTGATACAGCATTTTATGCGATTCAGTTCAGTATCTCAGTACACAAAAAGTACCGTAAATTATATTCTTTTTAACCTCTTGGAAATCCACATAATCACCAATAATTCTAGAGCTAGTGTAGCAGTTCAGTTAATATTTCATTAATGAGATTTCTTATTGTGATCCAAGTATTGCCATAGGATGCAGTATGTTTTGTTATAAAAGCAACAATTCTCTGAAGCTTGGAATTTATTGTGTATTTTTACCAAACACCATTTACATTTGATCCTTTGAAGATTATGCTTAAGGCCACTAGAAGAATGTGCTGCTGAAATGCTAATAATAAATATGAGTTTACGGTCTTCCTGTGGAATTTTAGTGTTTCTGGTATCTTACACAGGTATTAAGCTTTTGTATATATAAAAATAATATCATGTAGCCCTTTTGGCTGGGAAGATATCCTTCTGAAGGTTAACTAGTATAAAGTTGGTATTGAAGTCTTAAAAGTGACTTCATAAAAAGTATGGTCCTCTGGAAATTCAATGATTAAATGCATTGACATGAATAAGGCAATGATTTCACTCAGTATCTCTAAAAGGCAAGTGAGTTGCTTCTTGCCTCAATGAAGCGTTACACTGAATCAGCTAATGAAAATCACAAACCCAAATTGTTAGCTTTTTCACTGATGAATTTTGACAAACCCACCCCACATGATTGGAGAAGCTGAAGGAAATAGTCGTGTTCAGCTTGTAGAAAAGGCACTTAAGAAGGGACATGATAGCAGTCTTCAAACACTTGAAAGGCTTCCATCAAGAAGAGGAAAAACACCTTTTCTCTTTTGCTGGAGAGAGGAGGACACAGACCAATGGCTTCAAGTTGCAGCAAAATAAGTTCAGATTGGGTATCAGGAAAATCTTTTTCACTATTAGAACAGCGAGGCAGTGAAACAGACTTTCCAGGGGAGCTGGAGAATCTCCATCACTGGAGGTGTTCAAGAAGGGGTTAGATAAACATTAATCAGGGATGACCTAGGAGCTAAACCTAAGCAGAAAGATGACCTAGGAGCTAAGCCTAAACTCTACACTAAGTACTTCCTGTGCTTCTGGCTTTGCTGGTTGCCACATAAGGGGGGTTTCCTTCCCCCACATTTCTTGCCCCCCCCGGTTGGTGTGTGTGTCAGGATTGTTTGTTCTGACCCCCACATCACGTTCCTCAAAAGCATTGGGCATTGGCTGCAGTCGAGGCTGTATATTTTGCTTGGGTTGTGCCTATCCTCCTTCTGGGACTTAAACCCAGTGTCTTATCTCTCTGCTCAGGATCACCATAGTTGGAGTCAGGCAGGAATTTTATCCAGTGGTCAGGTTGGTAAAAACTAGTGGTTTTTGTCTTCTGTAGCAGGGGCATGGCTCTCTTCCTTGGTTCTATCATCTCTCTAGCCTATTTTAACAACCCTCACAGTAGCAGGACATTGGTCACCACTGTCCCCCTGCTTACTTGTGGCAGGTTAGTGTACCATGCTTTCTGGTTGTCAGGGTTGACTATGTAGTTTCATTAATAGGTTAGACAATGGTTTTCTTTAGGATGGTTTGGATAGGGATGATCCTGACTCTGACTCTGACTCTGGCAGGAGGTTGGACTAGATGACCTCTGAAAGTCCTTTCCAGCCCTACTTTTCTATGATTCTATTCTAATATGACTGGACTCACTGGAAAAGACTTTGGGTATACACAGAATGAATATGTACTTTTAAGGGCGAAAACAATTGCTCTGATACTGAAATTTTGTTGACCCTCAATGTAGGACTCTGGAGAAATGGAAAAACAACCAGAGAGAAAAGGCTAATTTTGAAAATTCCTGTGAAAGAAAAATAAAGTCTCTGAAGATTCTCTTTCCCCCTTAAAATGCTTTCAACATATAAAGTCATATTTATTTATTATTATTACTAAAATAGACAAGAGGAGATGAAACAAACTTGAGTGATTTAAGACACATCTACAGTGATACAAATAATTTATGGAAGAGATCAGCCATTTGAAATATATATCCAAGCATTTTAAAAGGCTGCCAGCTGGAAAAATACAGCAGCATTTTGAGAAACTGTTTCTGTGGACTTGCCATGGATACATTTCCTATTGCAAACTAATCTATATACATTCAAATGTATTTAGTCCTCTGTGACGAAGAGAAAAATCTCAGATGACACAGTAGCAAATGCTGACATATTAATAATGACCACCACCATTTTTCTGATATCTTACAATGTAAAATATAGAAGGGTTTTAATATGGGTGGATCTAGAATTTTGAAAAGCAGGGTGCAGATGGTGAGGTGCATCATCACATATAAAATAACACATATTTTTCTCCAGTTAAAATAAGCTAGAAGCTTTACTAGTATGGTAGGGGCCCAGGGCTGTATTTTTCAGTTTAAGATTGAAGGAAAAGTAAATATAACTTCATTGGAGTAAGTTAATAACAATCTTCAGGACTGTAAAATAGGGACTTCATTATCAGGAACAGCTAATAGGCAGCAGAATTGCAGAACAAAAGGTAGCTTGACTGGTGGAACCCATTAAAAAGAAGGGAGGGTCATTGACACCTGTGGAATGAAGATTTTAGAGGGATCAGGTAGATTATAATGGGCCATGATATCAATTGACTTCTGCAGCACAGCCTGACTAAAAAATGCTGCTGCTATTGCCCAGCAGTTTGTAGAAACTTTGAGTGTAGGAGGAATCAAAGGGGGTGCACGTGTATCAGTGCACTCCCCTGAATCTGCCCCTGTTTTTTTAGCGCATCTCTGACTGCCATGTCCTTTCCTGAAAGGACAGCTCTGCTCTATGAGCCCTGATTCCCACTGAGTTTACAGTTACATCTTCCTGGATTATACTGATTTAAAAATTACAGTGATTTACAAATTGTTTTTATTTCACTATGCTACTGGCCTCCACCCCCTCAAAAAATGCTTGAAGCCCTCCCTCTTCCCCCAAGCTTAGTCTCAAAGCTAGACATGACCTAAAATCATGGTATGAAATGCCACTGTTTGGTAGCGAAGACACGGTTTTGATATTATATTTACAGTTTTTATTTAGTGCACTACTGTTTTGAGAGTTAAACTAAAAAAACACTCAGCCAACTCAGAACTATCCCTTCCACCCTCAAATCCAAGTTCTAACCAGAAAGCTAAATCTAATTTATCTTTTTAATTTGGTTATGGACAGCTGAATTTTTCCTTGTGTTACTGGCAAATGACACAGATCCAGCCACAGACCAATTTGAAAGCCAAGAGCTCAAATGATCAGAGATGGCTGATAACCAACTGGCAAATTCAGCACCTTTCTGTTGCCACAGAGTACCCAGCAGCAGCTATTCCAGGAATGAATGAAGTGCCCTGTGGAATATCCCCTGCATTGAAGATTAAAACTAAAGATGCAAATCAACATGATTGAAATAATTTTTAATATATTTTAAGCTTTCTGGGAATCAATATAATTATATAGACAGACACATACATACAAATATATATCCATATTATAATATATTCCTATATAATGTATAATATATAATGTAATATATATAATGTATAATATATACATTCATATATTATACATTATATAGAAATATGTTATAATTCTATATTATATACAGAAGTGTGTGTGTGTAATTTTTATATTAAACCTTTGGCCCAATTGAACCAGAAAGATAAGTAGCCATATTCTCCTCTAACTTACACCAACCTATATCAGCAATAACTCCTCTGAAGTCCATAGCTACCTGACTGTGAAACTAGTGCAACATTTTCACCCTGTTCCCAAAGCCTTCATACTACTCTTGCATTACTTCAGATGGCTATTATATTGCTTTTCTAATGAAAAAATAAACCTCAGATGTCCCTGAGTCAGATGTCCCAATTCCAAGCACTGTAATAAAGAAAAAGTAAAGAAAAAGTGGAGGCACTTCTGCATGCTCTTTACAGTAGCAGATGTTCTTTTATTTACATTTCCATTGGTATTAGGAATGTGCTATATGTAAACCTTTCCAAACATTTATGTTAGTAAGCAAGAGCCAACAGTGTTTACTCTCCTCATTTATGACCCCCACCAAATGTGCATTTTGCCTAAATGTATTTCAGGAAGTAGCATTTTAACTTATTTCGTCAGTGACTACCAAGTGCTAACAGGTTCCCCAGAATTACCATCCAGCCTTGAAAAGACCAAGGAAAATAATTAAGACCATAATGGTGGATGATGATGAAAAGGATGATATGTTATTAGTAAATCAGAAAATTTACTCCTATTGGATGAACAGGGGAGGCTGTCTTATCTGTTAAAGCTGTACATTTGTGACTGAAGTTAGCTATCTGCTTCAATTCTAAGGATTCAGAGTTTCTCATAATTTGTCAATTGTTTCTCACGAGACATTAATTGGTAGCATAGAAACAATGTTTGCTAGTATTTATTTACTAGTCATCCTGCAAAATTGTGCAACTTTTCATGACATTCTCCATTTGTTGTCGGCAAAGCTAACTTTAGCTCAAAGTATGATGCTGAAACTACTAGTTGAAAAGCCAGACTTTTATTTTACTTGTTAAGCTCCTAAGTATACTTAGGTGACTAAGACTGCATTTCACCCTGCTTGGGTCCCTGAAGAACTATTAACAAGCTTACATTTGTAACATACTATGTGCATCTACACATTTATTAATGCACTGTAGTTACTGCACATTAAGTTTAGTATTTGGAAAACCAAGTACTAAATCAATGTGTAGTAACTCGCACTACTGCACAGCAGTGTCGGTGTACAGGTTTTTTCAGATGTTAACTGAGCATTAAAATTGTTTACTGGGGAAGAGAAAACCCTTTTACACATGCCCACATAATCACATCCCCTACTCCTATCCATCAACAAGGATGAAAACCACAATCTCCAGGCACAAAAGCACAGATTTCTCTCTCAAAAATAAGTTCATTAGCTTATAGCAAATGAGCCTGTTATTCTCTATCAGCCACTAGGGGGGATCAGAATTTAAGACACAATTTGTTACATGAGCTTTAAGACTGATATATGTGGCTGTGTAAGCCCTGTGTCCATTTAAGCACTCATCATAATAGTGTATTCCCTTTGACTTCGGTGAAGTGATGCAAAGGGAAACAGGGTTTTAAATCTTTTTAAAGGAGTTAATACGTAAAACAGGAGGCAAATACTGAAAACTTGCCTGGTTTTAAGGGGGATTTTGTTGTGGTCTGTGACTTGCTGAGTTTGTGGTTCACCAATGAAAGGCCAAATTCCGACTTCTTTACTAGTTATCTATAGTACCTTACTCCATCCACAGTTAGTCCCATTGAAGTCAGCGGGACAATGCTATTATGAGTGTATAAATCAGCACAAGGTTGTAAAGCTATGCATTTCAGACATTGTCCGTGCTTGGTATTTTGTTGTACTACACATTTGGATCAACAAAATATACCTTGGAACCTACAATTTTTGGCAAGTAACGTGTTTTGCCCATCTGCCTTATCTCCACACCAGTGGGAATGGGACACGGATATCTTGGCTGCTATCACACATGGAGGTAATAGACCTGAGCGCAGTACAGCTATTAGAATTACAGTAGCATCAGAGAAGAGTAACTGACTGTACTCAGTGAACCAGAGGTAATGTGATATCCAAAGAAAAGAATAAGTCAGTTATATAGGAGGCTGTTTATATAATATTGTTTATATAATATAATTGCTGTTTATATAATATTTTACAACTGAACACGTCAAAGCATATTTCTAAATGTATTAAAGTGTTAAAGATATTCTATTAGCATATCATTCATTATACTACCTCAGTGGGCAGAGAGTGGGTGAGGAAGACATCAAAAGAATACAAAGTTTGAAACATGAAAGATCATGTAATCCCGGAAACACAACTTACTGAGTCAGATCTCGCCTGCAGTGACTTAAGCATGTGAATAACTTCATGTGCCTGTGGGTTTGCAGGACTGGGACCATAAATTGCAAGCTTGTTAGGGCAAGGACTGAGAAATATTATGGTTCTATACAGTGGGAAGTGCAGTGATGCCCACTCTTTCTTGACAGTGCTGAAATACAATAATATCTTGGCCAATCAAAACTTCCCAAATTTTCTTTCTACTTTAATAAAGTAAAACCAAGTACCCTAGAACAGCTGTTTCCACCCTAGGGCGTTGTCACATGGGACACTTAGCATGTGTTTTATTTAGATTGTAGAAAGCATTACTATGAGTTAGAAAGTTTTCTGAGCAGTCATACAGTAATGCTTATTATGAACTCAGCCCTCTGGACACGGCTGGAGCCAGCTATGAAGTTGATAAAGAGCTGATTGTCAGTCCCAGCCCTCCCAGGTCACCGGTCTTGAAACTGCTGGGATGCAGTGGTGAGAGTAGTTGTATTATCTCTGTAAAGCAGTCCCATGATAGTATTACATGTATTACTTAACATGATATGGAGATATTCCTTGCTCCAAAAGTCCTAACTACTATATGACAGTACTTAGCATGTGCTTTCTTGCTTGAATGTGTGGATGCTTGTGTTTTAAATGCAGTTAACATGTCTTAAGTGTAACATATGACAAGGCCCTAAGTGACTTTTGAAGAGCTCCCTAAAAGTACTGTGAGAAACAGAGACAACATTTTCTAACTAGTAAGCTGTGACATTGATTTCTGATTCTACAGCTCTGGAAAGAGAAAGGTAAGGTCTAGACCCTCATCTGAAGACAGGAACCAATAACATCAGAGTTTTAGTCCTATCGCAGATTCCCTCTGTTTTGAGAGAAAACAACAGAGCTTCAGTTTCTACTTGCAAAGTATAGAAAAGACTTTGCAAAGATATTGTGAAAATTTCCAAATTCTATATAAATGGCCAGTATCAGCACTTGATCAATTAGTGCTTTTTAGTTCGTGATTTCAATATTTTGAAGTGATTTTACTGCATTGTTGGACTTTATTGTATAGCATTTAGGTGTGACTTGATGTACTCCCAGCACTAGTAATATTTCCTAATGTTATCACCTTAGCAGCACATTACTTAGTATAAGTTGCAAATGATGTTTTATTTTTCAGGAGCTGGTCAATGCCTGTCATGTCCACTATGCAAAGACCTAGGTAAGACATTTTCAAAAACATTTAGTTCAATTTGCATAAATTGTCTTAAAAGGGCAGGGCTGTTAACATCTGTATAAATTGCAAAACATTGTTTTTGAATAGGAAACTGTCATCCAGTACAATGCACTTTGAAATTCAAGGACACTCCAGAAAATAGTTCTCAGCACTTTTAGTTGTTGACTCTTCCAAAAAAGTAAATTGTAAGGCACCAGAAGGTCCTTGGTCAACTTTTCATTGGCTTCTCCAATAGGTGAAGTAATAAGTTTTGGTTTCACTTCTTGGTAAGCATTTTAAACTAGATTGGATGTAGATTTCAGACTGTGAATATGAGCAGGCACATCTAGGCCCCTGCTTCAACACTGCAATACTGACTGTTCCTAGAGTGGCTAGAATTCAAAGGTGGAAGTGAAATGGGATATTTTCTCTCTTTCATGTTAACAGGGGGGTAACTCATTGTGAGCTGCTCTGCAATGACAGGTATTTCTAGACAGCAATACACCTCTAGATTTCAACACTATGGTTAAGTTGACCTTTTACTTTTATTTTGGGAAATGGTCTTCCTTCTGTTTTTTTATATTCTTCTTTCTCCAGGACAACCTTCTTTTTTGGACCCTCAGGTGAAAGTTGAATTTCACAAAGGAATTTTCCAGTTCAATATTAGCAGCCCCAAAAATGTGACTGACTTCAGCATAACACTCCTGAAAGGACGGGAGAGGCAGACTATCTGTGCACTCCATGTGACTGAGGGGAAGGCAGTGCCTGAAAATAGAAGCAGCTACTGCGAACCACATTATTTTGGCAACAACACTTCTTTCATTCTCAAAAATCTGGAACGTAATCACAGTGACATTTATATCTACTGCCTGCAAATCCTTTTGCCCCCTCCCTATATAGACTGTAAGGTGGATGAAACCTATTTGTTTATCCATGGTAAGTTTGCTTTTGCTCTTCCTTTACTGTGGTCTTAATGACAGGGAGATTCAATATTTAACTGCAGTGAAAGATGTGACTGTATCTTGCGCAGATATATCTGAGCTTGCTTTAAACTAGAAAGCTGGATTACCAGTAGCAGTGTGGTGGTGGCTGCACAAAGCTCAGCACAGGATAACTGTCCAAATATTTACCCAGCATTTCATTAGGTGCATAACTGGATTTAAGCACCTAAGTGCAACTCCATTCCACTCTGCTCCAGGCCCTATAAAATTGTTAAAACAAAAGGATGGGTCCTCCTCTTCCTCCCTCCTTTGTTGTTGTAACTCAGCAGATCTGATATGGACTTTCAAAGACTTGAACAGATTGGAACAGACATGCAATTAGGTGCCTAAGTCCACTAGGCTGTGTGTAGATGAAACAAGAGGCACGTGTGCATGACACTTTAAAGCAGGTTAAATGCTTTTGCACTGCTTTAATAGTATTAGTGTTTGCACGTGTCAGCAGCGTATTGCGCCGTAATTCTAGCTGCTGTAGCAAATTTGGTGGTGTGATGTGCCTTAAATGACTTGGGGTGCAGAAAGAGGAGTTTTAGTTTGCTACCCTACAGCCACGGAGTTAAGCACTGGGCTCCATGCAGCTCAGGGGCTCTGCAAGAAGTCCATGCAGGCAGCCTAGAAGCAGCCTGGGAAGACAGGCTCTGCCCAAGACAAAAAAAAGTGGCAAGCCTGATCTCCCCACCACCCTTGGAGCCTGCCTGAACTGCGTAGGGGCCTGGTGCTTCCCTCCACAGCTGTGGTGCCCCCTGGGACCACCATAGCTGGGTGCCTGCGGGTGGGGGACAGTGCTGCCATGAAGGGAAGCACCAGCCCCACCCTGCAGCTCTGGGACTGCTCTGCCCACCAGCAGCTTGCCCTCCCCTTCCAACTGCCGGAGAGGAAGGTAAGTGCACAGGTGTGTGCATAACACAGGAGTTTACTTTGCCTTAAATTGAAGTGGTGCTTTAAAAAAACCACCGCTTCAATTTAGCACCCCCATTTCATCTATATATGCTCCTAGGCACTAAATCTACTATATGCCCAATAGGTGGAATACAATCAGACCTACTTTTAATGGTTTCCAAGACAGCTAACTCAAAGCAAGCTCATGTATACTGCAGTCTTAACCTTGGCTGTAAGTTATATATGCTTACTATCCTTTGTAGAAGAAATGGAAGGCAAAGTTTTAATTAAGTCTAGCTGGACACAAAACCCGTTCTGAGATTTACCCAAGAGCATCAATAGCAAGAGGTTGCTCATCAATATTTTTACTCATGGCAATAATACAGAACTGTCTTATCCACTCTGTGTGGAGTCTCTCATCTCCCACTGCAATTAATGAGTACATGCTGCTCACTTCTTTGAAGGAGCCCCTCCATTTGTTAATTCAGAGTAGATCAACATTTGATACAAAGAATGATACTATGTGCTATGGGTTCTGCCAGCACTTCTAATAGGCACCATGTTAATATTACTTGCCTTTTTAATTTTAAGCAATATCTTCCAGGGTGGCTTATCACCCTGTCAAGCCAAGCAGGGTTATAACTTTCTACCCAAGCCCTCTCTTTTGTTCTTCCTTATGATTCCTCATCTTTCTTCTTCTGTTCTTTTCCTTCCCTCAACACCTAGGCAAAACAAGACCTGAATGAAACTCTATGGTCTTTTTTATATGGGCGATCAGACCAGATGATTTAATGATCTCATCTAGCCTTAAAATTGATTTATATATACACCAAGGGTGGCATTCTATTCCCTTCCTCATCATCTAAGTGTCAAGTTTTGGTCATCTACATGGCATTTTTGGTTGACCAAATGCCAAAAATGCCACTTTGGCACAGATAAGATTTCTATTCTTGGCTGCATAGCCTGTGAACACAGACAACTATACATTTCAAATCATCTGCTTGCCATCCTTTTCATCACATCACCCTTTAAGTCATCTTACTGACACTGCATTGTGTTATCCATTAAACTCAAGTTCATTGGTTGCTTCTGGACTGCAAGCCCACACTGTCTTGAGCCCATCTTTAACTTTGTCTCCTTTCCTTATACTTTGGCTTGACTATGCTGTTAATACCAATAGACTTGATACCTCTTCTGCTCCCAAATTTCTCTGACCACTGCCACATCCTGCTCAATACTCAATGCATCTTTTTGATCCATCGCCTTACTTCATGTAAATCGTTCCCTCAAAACTCATTTCTGCTGCCTCACCTATGCAAAGAGGAAAGCTTACTTAAAATGTTGTAATTAGAAGGAAATGCTTACCCTCAGTGATTTCTCTTCTGTTCAAGACAAGGAAGAATGCACTCTACCAAGATTTCTATCATGGATAATTATTGGACTGACTGCATTCTTCATGACTTTCTGTATCTGCTGTATAATAGCTTGCTGCTTAAGAAATAAGGTAAGCAATTTCCAGAAGACTCTATAAGACTCATGCCAAAGGGGATGCACTGGAAGCTTGATTTAGTGTTATTCAAGACGTATGATTGACTTGCACACACACTCAGCATGTGTTAAATGTTTTGAGGATGAAATTGAACTTTTATTTACCACTGAAGTTGAGTCATTGGTGACAGCAGCTCACTTTTTATTTTTTCTGTGACTGAATTGTTTATTGATTTAAAGACCTGGAACCATAGGAAAAAGGAAGGAATCCTGCACAGGTCAGCAAAAATACTTTGGCAAGCAATTCACTTAATTGTTTCTTCAAGGCAAGCAATCATCTTTGCTCCAACTCCAGTTACATTTTGGAGCAAACCACTTAAAGAACCCAACACCCAGAGACAGAAGAAATACCAGGGCCATTTGTTGTTTTTGTTAGACAGAGTTTACTTTTTATTTCCATCTCAGATTCTGTCCTGTAACAAGTCTGAGTGACCTCTGTTGGTGAACATCAATCCTTTCTGACTTTGCCATACCATTAAAACATGGTAAAATTGGTACTAGAGATAGCAGGCAACTGTTGATCTTTGTGGATCAAAATTAACTGCCCTGTTAAAAGGATAAAAACAAGAGTTGAAAGGCTTAAAGACTCCAGACTGAATTCATGGCATTTTTCTTCTATTTGCAGACCAAGCAATGTGAATCGGACTCCCATGAGTACAATAGTGAATACATGCCAATGGCTGCAGTGAACGCAGCTAGAAAACCAAGATTCTAAGGTTGTATTATGTCTGCTTACTATACTCTTAAGCAAGACTCATTTCCCAAGGGTGGTCATGATGTCCCCTGCTGGCCAAGCTACCCATGCCCCACCCTGGCTCCTCAGGGTACCCTCCCTTTTCTGCCTTGCATTGATGGATATTATAAACCTTAGGGAGGCTGTCCCCATAATTCTGGAGCAAGCCTCAGTTCACCTCTCTACCAGTTCTCATTGTTGGCTGGCCAAGTCTTGTCCCTCACCTTGGGGACATTAATCATGGCCTCCAGCCTCCCCTATTACCATGCCCATGCTTTGTGGATCTTGTACTTGACTTGTTCACCAGTCTACATAGGCTTCAGCTCTCTTGGCCTTAGCCCACTGGCTGCTCCAGCTGTAGACTTCTAGCCTAGGCCCATTTCCTCTGGCCTTACCTTTTTGGCCTCAGCCTGCCTGCATTTCAATCATTTTGGTCAGGCCTTGGCCCTCTTGGCTGTAGCCAGGCTTGCTCCCCTGCCACTTTTCAGGGATTGAAACCCAGAGTGCCCCAAGCACCCTGTTACATGGCCTCCAATCCACCCCTACAAGTATAATCTGATCATCTGGTATAAACTGCAACCAAAATGCCAGCAACCTGCTTAAAAAAAAAGCTCTCAATGTCCTTCTGGGCTGCAGGGGTCTGTCCCCCTCACCCGGCTCTCTCCTAACTCATGGTGCAACTCCAGGCCTGCAGCTTTCACTCCCTGACAGGCTAGGTTGGCAGGAGCTCTTTACTTTGCAGAGTTCGGGGCAACACTGGTTCCTCCGCCTCAGGGACCCAGGTTTATATTGCTTGAGCTCTTCCTCTGGTCAGGTGTGCTCCCTAGGTCTAATGAACAGCTTGCTGCTGTTCTTTCAGTGCAGCTGAAGCTCTTTCCTATTGCCCTTATGTCATATAGTAGAGGTGGGCAAAGTTCAGCTTGTGGGCTGGATCCAGCTGGCAGTGGACTCATTTCCTAGCAGCTCCTGCCTGCATGGCTGGGGCCAATCTCCATGGTTGCCCTGGAGACTGGCCCCAGCCATGCTGACAGGGCATGCAGCAGGGCAGGGCAGCGGGCTGCTCTGGAGCCACTGGGAACTTGTGATGGGGCAAGTTTGGTCAGGGCCAAGGCAGAGCTGTGATCTGCAGCCTGCATGCTCTGGGCTAACTGGTAGTTATTTGCAGCCCTTCAACTCCCTAACTGCCTATTCTCCTGCAGCTAGTCTACGTTTAGCAGCCTGCTCCTGCCTATGGAGTATATCCATTATAGTCTCCATCTTAAAGTAACAGAAGCCTCTGGCTCCTTGTTATATATTGTACATGCTTTCTGGTGGGGAAGGGTTGATAAGTTGCCTCCACCTGATGTTAGAAGGGCTTATTGCTCAAAGGATCATACTGTTGTATGAGTCTATTTAGTGCCATCCAAAAGGAATAGCAATATCTTCAAAAAACAAAACAAACAAAACACCCCAACAAACCCTCAAAGAACTCACAAATTAAATTCATGGACTAAGGCCCCAAATTTTTATTGCTTCTAATCAGTGCAATGTAATAATCTCGAAGTGAGGAACCCATGTAAAGCTTCATTTACTCATGTAATAACACATCTTTCTAAAAGTAACTCAAGGGAAATGAGTGTAATTCAGTCCTAAGTACAAGTTATATTTGTGTATCAGATATTGTGGCTGACTGCTAGTGTCACGAATCAGAGGCTCTCTCACTTTAGACCCTACGTAGAGGCTAGCCACAGTAAGACAAGTAGGATTAGATTGATTCAGCTTTGCTTGGACTGCTTGTAGCTGATTCTAAATTTCTGTTCTAGGTGTGAACTTGCAAGGACACTTGTGGCGGTACAGAAATTGTTGGCATCATGTCTCCAGCTATCCGAAATATTAGTTTTACTTCTGTAGAGACCATGGCTTCAACTAATTATCATGTACTCAGTGATGGGTTATTATTCCTAGAACTGTTTTTAGTTGTGTTTTATGCTAGCTGCACTTTTGGCCACTGACTGCACAGGAAGTACTGAAAACATGATTAAGAAAATCACCCTTTAGTTAAAAAATGTAACATGTTTGCTTGCAGGTAGTTCTCCACAGTACTGTACAGAACAATTAAACCCTCTACAGATAGCTTCCTTTACAATACCTCCCACTGAAAAAAAAGACTACCTCCAAAGCTGATTCTGGCAGCCTGTTCAGCAACAGCTACCATTTTATTGCACATATAGCTTCTTTGTTAGGGACAGTTTAGCCTGATGATGTTGTTGAATATTGGTTGTTTCCACTGTGTATAAAGCCCTGAAGACTAATCGAACACAACTCAATTAGGTTATTGATAAGATCATAAAACATAAATAAGAAGTATATCACCAATGTTTGCTATTGCTGTCGTACTAAAACGACCGGAATGGAGCAGGCTCAGCAAGCTCGCATACCCCTTCGTATACCCAATTTGTTTACCACATATAGCTCACAGAATTCAGCCGACACGCTGTTTGTATTAAAGTGGAAGTAAAAAAATCCCATTCTATCAGACATGCAAATTATTGAAACTGGTATTTGTCTGGCAATATGAAAACTGAAAATTTACAAGTCAAATAATTTTTGGCTGGTACAAAGAAGAAATCCCTCACTAAACAAATTTAAAAACATTTTGCAAAATGAAAGGTCATATGAATTTTAGTTAGGCCTCCTGACATAAGTGCTCAAACATAATGGGAGCCCAGTTCACAAATTAACATACTTAAAGCCCTTAATCCTTACAAGCATATGAGTGAACATAGATATCTAAACATTTGACATTGGTTAATATAAAATGAATGCTATATCTTTTTAGATCATTAGGCTAACACTACCAATTCCTCCTCAGATTCATCTTGAGACTTCTTAATAATTCCACACCAGTACGATGTGGAATATGCACATGATTCCCCTCATGTAGGCACTAAAGGTAATAGGGGGACAGTAAAAGGGAGAATACATAATATTTTTTACTGTAGTCTAGAATATTGTTTTACTTGTCTGTATTCTAAATACATCTTTACAATTCAGGGTGCTCTTATTTATATTAAATTTAAAGCTCTTTTAGTAGGGCCTCTCTATATTTTAAAGTCCCAAGACTGCAGCACTTGTTCTCGTGAGTAAGGGCCTGCTGGACCAGTCCCTAGATCAGGAAACTAAAAAACAACCTCCTTTTAATGTATATTACAGTGCATATGTGGTAGGGCATGATAGCCCAACATTTCTAAGAACCCTACATCACCTAAATACAAAGAAAGGCAAGGCTGCATGTTCTGTCTTAAAACCTCCAACATAGATGGAATCATCTTACCTATAGTCTCCCTTCAAAATCGGTCAATACTGTGTGTTTAATGACCCACTGGACATCAAACCTGAAAATCCTCCAGGGTGGTTTTTGGCTATTTGAAACCAAAGAGTCACATTCCTTTTGAATCTCACTGTAATTCATATTTCATATAAAGAACTGAAATACCCTCTAAAGGGAATAATGAACTGGAAACTCCCTAGCCACAAAACCTACTTTCAAGAAAATGTTGAGAAAGGATAAGAAGCCAAGGGGAAGTGAAAACAATATTGAATAAAATAAGGAACCTCAGCTTGAGAAAGTTATCTAAGCAGGCAACAGACCACACCATCTGTGACTTTGTGGACAGATTGCTAGATTGTGATCAAGGAACCCTGGTTTGTATTCCCTTATTTAGATGGGGCCATACTGATGGTGTCAAACCCAAGGCTGTCCTTAACTATTATGCTGACCATCTACACACTATAACCATTAAAACTTGATCCTCAGGAGCAATCCAGCCCTAGAAGCTCTGCTAAAAATTCTGGGCATCAAGGTGACCCTTATTCTTGCTGCACAGCCTGTCTCTCTTTGCAGTGTGTTTGGAACTTAACTGCATGTTTTAGGTTTCAAGTACAGGAAGTCTGCCAGCAGCAGTCTCCCAGTTGTCTGTTTTCCTTGTTCCTGATTTCTGGCCCTTCTGCACCCCATTCTACTGCCCATAAGCTGGGACAAGTTTACCAGGAGAGAGTAGTAGTTCACAGACCAGTACCTTGAAGGGCTCTGCAAGGGTATCTGTGGTATATTTTAGTGCTTTGGTGAAGAAATAAGAATGATGCGGCAGGGAACAGTGGGGCTCAGGTTTGCTGAAGACAACCTCAAGGTCAGTCCTAAATAACAGTGTCAATATACTGTGTGCCACAGTTTCCTCTCTATAAGATGGTGCTAATGATACAGATATCCTTTGTGAAGTACTTCAAGAACCACTGGTAAACAAAGCTAAGTATTATCTCTGTGCCTATAACTTGGCCCCTTCACCTGCAGCCACCTTTGGGTATACAGGGTCCTCTCACATTAAGATGCAGCCATCTCTGGGGTAGGGCGTAGCTGGTTGTAACAGGAACCCCACACCTGGCACTGGGATGCAACCAGTTCTGTGAGAAATACTGAATGTGAGAAGGCTACATAATACTCAGGAGTACAAAGGAACTTGTCACCATGCTGAGAAGAAAACTCATGGAAAAAAAGCTCCTGACAGAAGGAAGCAGCGATCTGGGGGCGTCTTGGATATACTGCCTGATAAGGGACAAATGATGAGTCAGATGAGAATGTGAGGGAAAACAAATATTTCATCCTGTAAATGTAAAATATTTTCATTTACTGTAAAAAATCCTATCTAAATGAGTTTTGGAAAATTCTTGACTTTTGTTTGAATGAGATATTTCTAGTCTTAATAAATGCTGTTTTGGATCATGCTATGCATCATAGACTACTTTAGAAATATCATGCACACAGACCTAAAGATACATGCCCAATAATCTCTAAAAGGAGGCAAAGAAAGGAAAACAGTGTTGTCTATTTTTGTACCAGTTCTCACTAAAAGAAAACAGTAGAATAAGGAGTAGTACTGTTATATGTATGCATGCATGTACGTGTATATGAAGTTTTTTCCATTTCATAGGGGCTGAAAAGGAACAGTTTGGGGGTTTTGTTTTTGTTTGGTTTTTTTCCCCTTTTTCTCCAGACTTATTGTTGAGACTCTTGATTTAAATTTTTCAACCAATACATAATAGAGGAGATGAAGCACCATGATGAAATACTTTGGGTCATTTCCCCTTAGCATGTTATTGACTTCAAAGACTAACTCATCATTCATTTCCTCATGTTCTCATGAACAGTTTTTTCAAAGTATATTTAAGAATAGACAAAACTAGACTTCAGAACTAGGGTAACAGAAATGAATAAACCCGGGGATCTAAATGCAAAGTAGCATCTCACACAATTATTTGCAATCAGTTCTCTAAATGGGGATCTCATTATGCATGCGTCCACATACTTTGCCATGGAGCAGTAGTTCCAATAATAAAAGCTGCCATAAAATTTGACATAGGTCACTTTGACAGGACACAAGGCCAAGGAGGGGTTGCTCAAGTAGGGCTCATTGGAGAACTAGGGCTAAATCTGTGACTTGAATTAGAGTTAAACTGACGGCACCAGAAGTAAAAGGTTATCTATAACATCCCCAGTCACTAGAACCCATACGTCCATTATTTATAAAGTAATGTACTACATACATACTTCCAAGCGAAGTGGTGCTGGCTCCTACCATGGGGGTCCTTAAGACAAGGCTACATGAACACCTTGCTGGGGTTGTTTGACCCCAGTACCTTTTTTTCCTGCCAAGGCAGGGGGTCGGACTTGATGATCTGCTCAGGTCCCTTCTAACCCTACCAACTATGAAACTATATCATATAGAATTTCCATTTCACTATGAGATTAAATTGAGATTTGTATTTATGCTCTATGACTATGAGTTCAGTTCATTAGAGGGGAAGAAAGGATTAGCTTTTTTTGCAGCAAAGCGAATTGGACAGAGATCAGTACACAGGAGATGTCAGACAGGTCAGAGGATGGAGCTTCATTTAAATGAGCATCATTATACTATTTAGTAGGGATGAGTGAAGCGGGCCCTATTCAATTTAGATTTGGATTCGGCCCGAATCGGGGGCAATGATTGGATTCGTTGATTCGGATTACTGTCCCTAATTTGATTCGGCCGAATCCAAATCTGAAGATTTGATGCTTATTCGGAGAATCAGTGATTCAGACATAGACACGGCTTTAAAAGTTTTTTCTACATACCTTGAGGTAGCAGGCATGGCTCATGATCACTGTGATGCTGGGGTGTATGGAGTGTCCCACAGGAGTCTGGGGAGGCAGGGGGAGGGGGCTCTCCATGTGCTTGGCAGCAAACTCGGAAGTGGACTGGAAGTACTTTTGGTCCACTTCCAGGTCTGCTGCTGAGGGTGCTGGGGAGCCCCTCACACTTCTGTGGGATGCTCCATGCACTCCAGCATCACAGCACTCATGAGCCCCTGCTACCTAGAGGCATGTAGAAAAAACATTTAAAGCTGTCTCTATGTCTGAATTTCCAAATCTTTCTGAATCTCTCCGAATCAATTTAGAGAGTTCCGCTTTGATTCAGAGAGATTAAAAGGTCCTCTGATTTAATTTGGATTTGAGGATTCAGCCACCGAATCGGGCTGAATCTCCGCCAAATTGAACCAGGGACTGAAGCTTCACACAACCCTACTATTTAGCTCCTCATCTGAGTAATAAGATCTTATATGGCTTCAGATCAAGTTTTAAGAAAAGATAAATCAACCCTGCTTATTAAGAAGAAAGTTTTAACTGAGTCACACATTAAGGGTAATCTTTTTTTTTTTAAACTACAAAAGTTGACATCTTTGAAATACAGAAGATGTTCCACACTAAATCCTGCACCAGTTTCTATTAGTTTATACACTGAAGCCAGCAATTCTAAACTGAGATACTCAAGCATGCTGCCTATTTTGGAAACCTCCCCCTGTCCAAGACTTTGATCCACCACAGCATCCTTGTATATGTGTCCCTCAGAAGCAGATTTGGCCACAGTCCAAGTGGCTGAATCTGGTTTTAGATAAACCTGGATGTAGATAAAATGGATGTAGTATCAGACTTAACATATTTAGGTTAAACCAGTCTATTGAACTTGACCCAGATCCCCTCTCAACTCAAGCTATCTCACAGTTCCCCAGCATCCCAGGATGCTTTGCAACCCATAGCCCATGGGTCCCACCCCCCCACAGGGTAGCTTGCTGGAACATGGCTAACACTCTGTTGCTCCAGCCCAGTTCCTAGTGACCCCACTTCTGGGATGTCACAGACTTTCCTGCACAGCTCCTCTGCCCAGCTGTGCCTCTCAGCTCTAGGCAGCACTCGGGGGGAGGCAGGGAGGGGTGAGGAATTGGGAGAGCCAACACAGACAAAATGCTTCCCACAGGGTTCCTATTGGCTTCCCCCACCAGCTCTGGGCTGTCTGCTGGGGAAGCCAGGGCGGTGTGAACTCTGAGGAAAGCATCCATCTTGGCTCCCCTTGTGCCCCCCACCAACTGTGGGCTGCATGCTGGTCCATCTGGGGCTGTGCAGACCCTGAGGGAAGCATCTGTTTTGGCTTCCCCCAAGCCCTCCACCCCTGCCAGCTCCAGGCTGTGCGCTGGCCCAGCAGAGGCTGTGCAGGCCCTGAGGGAAGTGTCCATGTTGGTTCCCCACACTCCCTTCTGCCTGCTCCAGCCAAGAGCCAATGCTGGGCCTTATAGAGCTGAAGCCTCAGTTCCCTCTCTCCCATCGAGCTCTGGCTTCCCCCATGCTGCCACAGGCCCAGATGCCAGGCGTGCCAGGACCCACTCTGGAAACCTAGAGCTCAGTGCAGGGAGGGTCTGCAGTGACAGCAAGCTGTTGGGGGCACATGCCCAGCAGCCAATCAAGGATGGCCCTGGCTCAGCTATGCTTGGCCGCCCTCAGCAATGTCCAGCATGTTGGGAGGTGTGTAGGAGTGCCCACCCAGCTTCTGGCCTTGGCCAATTTAGGCATCTATTTCCCTCCCCTCTGAAGGAGAAACGTGTGTTCTGTTATCTCCTGATCCAATCTACACAACTTAGAGAAGTCCATATAAGTTGAATCAATTCCCCCTTAGGTGTTTTGACTGGCTGTACTTAGCCTGAAAGACCAGATTGCACATAGCCACTGCAAGAGGGTACAAGAGTGGAAGGGAACCGTCTTCTCTTTTTGCCTAGGGGACAGGCCTAATTGCTGTCCCTGCACTCTCCTTAACAAGGAACTGTCCTTTGATAGTATCTACTTAAGCATGAGCACATTTAGGAGGAGTTGAGAGAAGTGAGGATGTGACATAGTCATTACCATGTCCTCTTCACAGCCTCCACCCCATGGAGCTGGCCAGGTAGGGATGGGTATGTCCACTGTACTTCCTAAGGGTCAATTCAGCTGAATGCTGCTCCATAGGGTGTGATGGCTCTGCAAAGCCCTCAGAACATGGGCTCATGTTTTACTAGGCCCAGACTGTGACAAACAGTATGGTATGTTTGAGGACACTTGAGAAATATTCAAGAGGAGACTGGATAGTCATCTTGCTGGGGTCACCTGACCCCACCTGTCTTTCCTGCCTGGTTCAGGGGGCTGAACCCAATGATCTTCTGAGGTTCCTTCCAGTCTTACAATCTACGAATGTATGACACTGATGAATGGCACAGCAAATCTGCCATATATATATGTATGTATGTGTTCTGGTTACACTGCCATCTTTCCAAGGCTAGGGGGAATTCAGTTTCTGGTGATCAACATGTCCACGTTGTAGCTTCCTTTCCAACCAAAGAATTAGCTTTTCTAGCAAGTTTTTCTGTTTCCTGAGATGAACGTGAAGAGTTACGTCAAGTGCTTCCTACCACAAGAACTGTTCACTAGCTTCAAAAATGAAAAGAAACCTCACCTACATTAGGGCTTTGACCCAAATGAAACAAACTTCAACTTTCCTACAAAACTCTTAGAAGATTTTTCCCTTTTTAAAAGAAAAACATGATCTTTACTGGAAAACATAGATGTACTTGAAAAAAAACCATGCTGTATAATGACGGGTGATTCATAATTTCCACTGAAGATGTACAGTGAAACAAAAATATCCTAACCACCGAACGTAATGAAAGCAATGTTTTATTTTACAACAAAATAAGAGCTTCTCTCCTTTCTAACACGGTAATTAGGACTGAACATGACTCTTTTCAATATACTCAAAAACAAATCTCTTAGTTGCATCTGAAGCACCTGTTCAGATTAGAGGCATGTTTTCTTTCCAGATAAAAAACAGCTGAGAAACTTTTTTTTAACTTGAGTTGCATCCTATTAAATATAGACCATTTTCTTTTCTATCCAATTTCTGCCTTTAGACAGTGATACAGTGAATACTTTTCAAGAGAAACCTGCAATGGATATTTAATTTAGAAATTCAGTTCGTTGGTCTAATTGTTGGCCAGACCGTATGTTGTTGTGGTACTATTCTGAGTCAGTTTTTTAGCTAGCACTTTCTCTGTTTTCTTTTCTGCTGCTAGCTGGAGAAGGGGAGCAGTAATCTAGCCCCAGATTATAGAACCTGGTTCAGAGAGAGGCCATTACGCAGAAGTTAGAAATGAAGTCTAGATTTTGGGAGGCCCAGGTTCAACTCCTTATTTCTGCCACATATATTTACAAGGTGCCACATATATTTAAAAGGTGACCTTAAGGCTCGATCCACCAAAGGACTTCAGCATGGAAACATTCAGCATGACCATAGTTAAGGCCAGATTCATATTCTACCTACTATGTACCTAAGTGTGATCCAACACACACTATTTTCAGTGTTCAGAAGGGAAGCTGCCATAACC